GGAGAATATGTGAGAAATTAATATAAAACAAATAGAAAATATCATTAAACAATTTTTAAAAATGTTTACAACCTATCATCTTAGTGGCCTGAAGACCGTGAGATGATAATGTACCAGGATTATCTCAGAAAAGTACATCGGGGAGGTTTTAAATGAGTTTCATCTTTTGCTAAAACAAGAAGAAAGGCTATGAAGCAACTGTTCAAGCAAGAAAACATGCTTCAACCCCTGTTTTCAGCTGTCACCAACCTTTCATCTCATGAGATGCACTTTCTACTGTCTGATTACTTGCTAGTCTACTATTAACTATTATCCTAATTTGCAAGACCTGTGACAATAAAGGAGCCTACTAGGTATTGTTAGCATTTGTTTTTATGTGTATCAGAATAGTGTTTTCTACCACTTATGATATAAAAGTGGGTGACACCAACAATACTTTGTTGGTTAGTTTCTTATTACAACATCATTAGAGAAATATTCTTTAGATCTATTATTTTTCACCTGTACCCACTCACCATGTTATTGTGTCTACTCAATCAGAGAGCTACTCAGGGAAATATTCTCATAATTTTCAGAACCCTGGTCAAGAAGAACAACAAAAAGCCAAAAGAAGACAAAAAAACCTAATGCTGAGTGATGTATTTCTTTCATGTTTTTTTATTTATTTTAAGAGAGAGTGTGTAAAAGGAACAGAAAGGGAGGTAGAGAGAGAGAATCCCAAGCTGACAGCACAGAGCTCGACGTGAGATTGATCTCAAAACCATGAGATAATGATCTTAGCCAAAATTAAGAGTCAAACACTTTAACTGACTGAGACACCGGAATGCCCTGTGATAAGTTTCTCATAAAAGTTTCAACACTGGGTTGCCTGGGTGGCTCAGTCAGTTTAAGCATCTGACTTCAGTTCAGGTCATAATCTCACGGTTCGTCAGTTTGAGGTCCCCCCCCGCTTCCTTGGGCACTGTCAGATTCTCTGTCTCCCTGTGTCTCCCTCCCTCTCTGCCCTTTCTCTGCTTATTTAAGCATGCTCTGTCTCAAAAATGAATAAATAAAACATTTTAAAAAGCATTTAAAACAAAAAGCCTTCAACATCATCATCAGAAGAACTAGAATAACTGAGGGCTACTAAAGCTCAATAATTTTTTTATTGTGGGCTTCTAACCCTCTCCAGGGAAACTGGCATATGAAGGGACCTGATAGAGTTCTATGGGCTTTCTTACTGCAGTGTCCTCAGGGAAGCACACCAGGGTCCCTTGTGCCGGGGGCTACATGCCTGAGCTTCCAAGAAGACCCAGGAGAAATCTATATCTGAATAGGGTGACTACCCTGTAATTTGACTAATTAAGTAATTGTTAGAGAGCAAAAGGAAGCACCTTGGGGACAATCAGAAGTCCTATATATCTGCTAGGGAAATCTCACAATATGGATGACAATTTAGACTTTCAACAAAACATCTGATTTTGACTAGATTCACTTTAAGTTAGAACAGACTTACACCATTTGTTTTAATTCAGAAAGGTTTCGACAGGTTAGGAGCTTTATACAGTTACCGCCACCTCGAGAAGGCAAAGACAGTTAAAACTACATGTCTAAAACTATATGAATTTGAGGTGTAGCCCTGATGGGGAAAACGCTCTGTCTGGCTGGCTTCTGGGTGTTGGCTTGGTTCATCTTTCCCTGCTTTGCTTCTGCAGCTATACAAGAATGACTAGAACCCCCAGAGCACAGGACCATTTTTATTCAAGGATATGTAAGTGTGCTGAAACCTGTGGGATGCCTCATTCACCCAACTTATGGACCCATTCAGCTACTTATAAATAATCCATTCGAAATTTATCCAGCACCTACTAAACCAGAGAGATATAATGGGTGTGGTGAGGACTTCAAAGACAGACAGGAAGGTCCCTATTCCCAAGGAGTTAACAACTTAATGGCAAAGAGGGAAGAGCAAAATACAAACAAATATGCCTTAAGCGGTATTCAATACCATCCTGATTCTAAAGTGCTTCACAGTATAGAGAATCTTTTACTCTGTAAGATTCCTAAAGTCACAGAATATCAAAAATATTACTTTCTTTTTTTAAAGTTTTTATTTATTTTGAGAGCAAGTGAGCATGCATGTGAGTGGGGGGGTGGGGCAAGAGGGAGAGTTCTAAGCAGACTCCATGCTGTCAGGGCAGAGCCTGATGCCGGGCTTGAACTCATGAACTCTAAGATCATGACCTGACCAAAGTCAGACGCTTAACTGACAACTGACTAAGCCACCCAGGCGCCCCCAAAACATTACTTTCTGAAAAAGACATAGTTTATTGCCTAGAAATGGTTAGATTAAGGCTCTTTCTTTTATTTCATTTTTTCACTGTGTATTTTACAGTGCTGGGCTGATAACTGGAGGCTTCATATGCACTGCTGACTTCACTTGTGCAAAATAAGTCCCTCCACCCTGTTGTTTGCGGGTTAGTCATCAGTCTCCTTTCCTTCTCTGTAATCAGCTTATTTTTGACAGGTTTTTTTTTTTAACCTTAATTGACTTTAAGTCCCACCTTCTACCTCATCTACCTTGATTTTATTGGTTCAGCCAGGATGTCTTAAGAGTTGCTAGCTTTCCCTTCTACGTGCAACTGGTGTGCCTGCATTTGAACACTGAGGGCAGACTCCTCCTGTCATAGAGTGCCCTGTGCTCCTCAGTGAGGCCTGCAGGTACTGAGTATGGGCTAGATGATCTGACAGTCAGATACCCAACACAAGGGTCAAGTCCAGAGTATGGGCTAGATGATCTGACAGTCAGATACCCAACACAAGGGTTTAGACTTTGGAGCTAGTGGCTTATATCTTAGTATGTCATTTATGGGAAACCTCCTTAACTCTCTGGGGCTCAGTTTCTTCAGCTGAAAAAATGAACATAATTCTACTGTACATAATTGAAGGCAGTACTGAATGAGATAACTTATGTCAAACCTAGACCGTGGCATTAAATATGGGCAGTGAATACGATTTCACTTCTACATTCTTTCCGTGAGGTAGCTTTATTATTCTACTATTTTGCAGTCTTAAAAAAAAGGTTAAAAAGAACACGGTGGTCCCCTTTATCACCTTTGTAATTTGCTAACAAGCCAGCTGAAATACTATGACAACACAATTTTTAACATGTAAGATGTTTACTGCCGTGCAGAGCATCTAGGTAACAATGGTTAGAATACAAGAGACCCTGACTAAAGACCTGAACACCGGACAGGATCCTGAAAACCTAATACACCCTCTGCTTGACTGCCAGTCCTGAAGTTAGCTAAGTAATTAAACAGGGAGGCCTCTGGGCCTTGAATTTTCTTAATCTCATGAAATGCACTGACTTTACTGAGGTTGGTAGCAGGCCATTTTTAACTGAAGGTCACTGACTTTTAAATTACTTAGGATACCATAACATGCCTTCTTTTTTTTAGTACATTCTTTACATGTTACTCTCCCACTGTAGTTTTCTATTTTAGAAGCTACTTCTATTAAAGCACAAACTTTACAACACCCAAAAGACTAGAAAAAAACCCACACAAAACACCAGTATATATGTAAGTGAGGTTATACACAAACACATAGTCATACATTTGGGGCTACACAAAAATTATAAAATTATTTAGCTTTGGAAATAATGCAAAAGATGTAATTATACTACATGCCAAGAATGTAAAACAAAAATAAATTCCGCTTCCCCAAAGAGATCTTATCTAAGGATGTATAAATCCTATTCAAAGACTTTTTATTGAAAGCATACTCCCAACAGGGCGCCTGGCTGGCTCAGTAGGTAGGGCAGGCGACTCTTGATCTTGGGGTCATGAGTTTGAGCCCCATGTTGGGTGGAGAGATTACTTTAAAAAGTAAAAAAGAAGAAGAAGAAAAAAAGAAAGCATGTAAGCATGTTCCGAGGATTTAGCAAAATTCCCAGTATAGATAATAGGCATTCAATAAACCTGGATCAATAAACCTTTTCTACAAAGTTACTGACCTGAACTTTATTCTATATTTACATATAGAATAAAATTAAACTTAAACTCTTTAAATATATGTATATTATATATAAAGTTAAAGTCTTGCTTGAATTCTATAAACACGTGAACTGCAAACAAGAATTACCCTAAGTTGCCAAGAAAGTTAAATGGCAGAACGAATAATATAGTTTTCAGGTCAATAACTTTGTAGTTTCTACCAACCATTTTACAAAATATTACAATGATCTAGGTCATTATCATTACCCTTGCTCAGAGGTGAAATAACTGAGAGAGAGAAATGAAGCCATTAGGTCCAGACATCCAACAAGGCAGATTCGGTACAGAATTACAACATTCAACCCTGGATGTGTTTATTTTCATCTTTTTCATTCTCATATTACGTTTTCCCTGAATGCTGCTGTTGAGTTCCCGGTGAAAGTTATCAGAAAGGAAATCTCCAGAAGAAAACCTGGTGCTGACTCGCAAGACCCAGGGACTGTGTCTTCTGCACCTCTAGGCAGTTTTATACTGTTTTTCCAACAAGCACTATTGAATATTTCAAGCAGCACAGATGACAAGCGAGGCAGAGCAGCTTTACTGCAGCAGACCCCAATGACGATGTCCTCTACGGTTCAATGAACTCTTTACAAAAAGTTGCATTTTCCCTCCAATACAGTAAATTCCAATAAACTGAAACCCGGCTGCAGGAACAAAACGTGGTGTAGTAGATAAAATCATGACTTGGCAGATAATTTCTTGAATACACAGATCATTTTACTCTCCAACCTTTAGCCTCTGCTTCACCCAATAATATCATTTACAGATTCAGCAATATGCTTAAGACCAATCTGTTGGAACTGTATTTTCTTATTTAGTACCCTTTTTGGTTTAAATAAACTGGAAAGATTTTTAAGTTTCCTTGTTTAACCATTAAAAAATGTTCTAAGAATTTTCTGTAATTTCATTGAAAAAGATATAAATCTCTAAAACATGAAATGTCACAGGCTATTGAACACTCACCCAAACCAGACTTTTTTAATCGTTTTAAGTGCTGACTTGTTTGTTTTCCAGTGGGAGATTTTTGCCCATGTTTCATTTCTTTATCTGAACTGTCTGCTTCACCATTTTTAGATTCGGATCCTAAAAAAGGAAATAGTTATTATGTCATTATCTTCCTCTTGCTGTCCTTGAAAAGAAAAATCTAAAACTGTTTCAAAAACCACAGATATAATCTCCTTTTCTATAAGTTATTCACTACCTTTGGCCACAATCTGATTCCTCTATTGGATATAAAGAGAAAAGCCCAATAAATCAATCAAACAGAACAAAAAGCAAGAACAGATGGCCTAATAGTAGAGTCAAAAACACGTTCACTGATCTGATAGCTTTTAAAAGAAACACTCAGACCTTTTGTAAAAAACACACGAATAAGCTTCAACAATACTATACCATTTAGAGACCATGCAAGACAGAGAAAGAAACATGAAGGAAGAAGAGAGGCTTGAAGAGAAGGAGAGAGCACACCTCCATAAATAACTTTACGTTGAAATAGGAACACAAAATACAAACATCAATCCATAATAAATAGAATGGTACATAGCTGATAAAGTGACAGAAGGTAAATTAGAAGAAAAGGTCAGGGCTGCACTGAGGTGGGAAGAATGTTTCCAGAACACAGAAACTAATAAAACACAAAATGTCTGATTTTTGCAGAAGACTGAAAAACAAATTCACATTCACGGAAGAACTGCTTTTGATGGCATTACACACCAGCATGGGGTCCACCATTAAAGTTCAACATTCAAACAAAAGCCAAAGCCACAACAACAACAAAAAAATGCACCTAGCAGTCCCACACATTTTCTTACACCTACTGACATCAGCAAATGAAGTCCTCTGATGATGACCGGGCGGGTGCCTTTTATTTTGTTAAGAACAAAATGCCCTATTATTTTTGAATCACTGAAGGAGTCAAAAGTAAAAACAAAAAATAATTAAAATGAAACCTCAGGTATAAATATTATTCAGTTGCAGAGAAAATTTGTGACATCTCTCTCAGTGAGGAAGTCTCCTCCGGGCAGAAACTGGCCAAGCATACAATATTTGAGCTCTTTACCTGAAGGCGAATCCGACTGCTCATCAGACACCTTTAATGGTGTCAAAACAACACGAGGAACAGTCTTGTTTACCATCATTGAGACTCCATTTCTTCTTTTCTGCTGCTGCCTCAAAGCCTATAAAACATGATAAAATATAACATAAACATATAGCCAAAATGATTTCTCACAACTGAATTGAGTGGTCCATTTGCCCATCATTAGATACCAACTCTTAAGAGACTGAAATTCCACAGAGTCACTAATTTATCCTGATTGTTAACAGCCATCTTCAGGTCATTTTCCCTCAAAAGCATAAAATCAGTCTTTGGCAAAGGGTATCAAGCTGAGAGCATTTTGGGGTATAATTCTGAAAACAAAGCAGCACTTAAAGGTTTGTTCTACCTTAGCAGCCTGACTTGGGAGCCCATGGAACTTGAAGCCATGACTCCCAAGTAAAATAAATGTAAAATAAATGTTTCAAGACCAGGATAAAAATATATGTGTCTGCACTTCTCTCGCAGGTGCGTCCTCTCCAGTGCACTGCTCAGTCAATCAAGTTAACACCAAGTGTCATCAGTATGTACAGCAGGTAAGGACTCCAGTATTGATGCACTCACTCAGCCGTGGGGAGTGCTGCACAAAATCACCGAACATGGCAGGAATCATTTATTTCTGTGAAGGGAATCAGTCCTAATCTTGGAAACCTTGCAGCACTTGGCTCCTGTCTGCTTGACTTTGGGCATTAACCTTCAGAACACGAACATGACGGCGTTCTGGCAAATCCAGGAAAAAAAAAATTGATACGAGAATAAATCTCTCCAAATGGGAGTGCTTTGTGTTTCATAAATGAATCAACCACAGCGATGATAATGTAATAAAAGACATTTAAAAGTTTTGAAATACAGCTTATCCAGCGGATCGCTTTACACAGAAAATTACCTGTAATAAAAGGGTCTTCAGCACACGAAACTGAAGAGACATTAAATTCCCAGTTACAGGGAGGCTAAAATTTCTCAAAAGGTTAAAAGGCTGACCACAGACAGTCTCAAACATTTTTATTCCCGGCTTCTGTGTCATTTCTACCAACTCTATGACAACTCAGTTACTTGATTAATGTTCTTCGACCAGAAGTTGTCACAACTGCTTAAAATACTACATTGACGATATAGCCCCCGCTGTCAGAAACAATGCCATTGTATTTGCATAGGGTATTAGTTGAATGTACAATTTGTAGATCGTAAGATTTAACAATCAAATAATTACAGAGGTGAAAAATTAAACACCACTTAAACGAGAGAAGGCATATTTAGATGAGATTTAGAACCAGATGGCAAAGTGAGTGGCTGGGGAAGTCTATTACAAATGATACTGTTGGCTATTAGTAATACAAGCAACTTTGCTTCAGTTCTTACATCTACTGAGTTTTTTTCAAGTACCAGGCATCATGTGGGGACAAAAGATCAAAAATGAATAAAATGCCTTCTCACCTTTTGCTTGCTTTCGATAATATACTTAATGAGAACATGTATGCCATAAAATATTTAAGACATTGACTCTTTTTTCATCAAGGTGTACAAAACTGCATAAATGTCTACAGCCTGGTGTAAAAGCTCAAAGCACTTTATCGATACTAACATATCAATCCAGTAACAAAACAGAATGAGGCAATACAGTGCCTCAACTTATGATTAAGACCATTTTTGCCTACTACATAAGACTTCACAAAACAATAACATTTGTACAAAGAATGATTAATTTTTAGGAGTCTATACATTGTAGATTTCAACTACTTCTCTTGGCAATCTAAGTGGGTATTTTAAAAATATTCATTTTATGTTAGAGTGGGTAGGTATATATTTTAAAATACTACTTAAAAAAAGAATTAAAATAACACAGAAAATGGAATCATAAAGTTAAAGATGCCATGTCTTTTTATAGCATTTGTGGTAGATAATAACTAAAGTAATAAAAATTTTGTCCTCAACTTTTAGAGCTGAGAGGACTCTACTATAGAAAAATTAGTAGCTGGACAGAAAGAAACCAGGACAGAGATAATATAATAATAATAATAATAATAATAATAATAATAATAAAAGAAGAAGAAGAAGAACCGCCACTGCCACCACCACCCATAGCGTCAAGGTGAAGCCAAAGAAGGGATAAAGGAATACTAATCAGTATTGAGACCATTTCAATGATTTTTTTTTTATAAATATGTACACAGAAATGTGAAGGAATATTTCTTAATACAATTATTTTTTAAATAATGAAATGAAACAACCAAAACTAAATGTCCCCCATATAAAAAACTGTCTTACGTATATTTAAAATATGCATACTTGGGGTGCCTGGGTGGCTGAGTTGGTTAAGCATCCGATTTTGGCTCAGATCATGATCTCATGGTTCGTCGGTTCGAGCCCCGTGTCGGGCTCTGTGCTGACAGCTAGCTCAGAGCCTAGAGCCTGTTTCAGATTCTGTAACTCCCTCTCTCTCTTACCCTCTCCTGCTCATGCTGTCCCTCTCTCTGTCAGAAATAAATAAAACATTTAAAAATATTTTTTAAAAATAAAAAATAAAATATGAATACTTTACTGTTTTACTTCTGAAAAACACACATTAGATTTGATCCCAAATAACATTCCTAGGGGCAGATTAACAAAAATTGTTTACTATGAAGCCAGTCACAGCAGTGAAGCCACAGGCTATGAGGCAAACTCGAGGAGCACCACAGTTCGGTTATTAGAAGGGGCATCTTGATCACACTTACTAGATTCACCGTCACTTTAGGGTAACTTGCAGATTCCAATTCACTTCCCAGACAGCAGGATTTATTTGACTCTGGACACTAAGGACACCTTCCAAGCAGATCAAAATGTGGATGGAGGTGGAAAAAAACCATGCTAAGTGAGATATTTGGGATCCTGTGGGCTCCACACAAGAAAACTCTGGCACTTGACATGTCCATGAGGCAGGTTGTACAGTGGTTCCTGTATTAATAGTGATCCCTGTTCTCTTGTTGTAGGGTGTCTGTCCTGTAAATAAAGTAGCTAGTTGTTCATGGGCTGTTTGGTTACATAACTCGATTTCTGCAGCAACGCACACATCAACCACTCAAACATATACTGCATGTCTCCTCACAATACCTTGAAAAATGTGCACTGCTTTTTGGGAGCACATCGGCTGGGGTGAGACAATGACGGGGGGTGGCGGAAGTGAGTGGCAAAACACATATCGCTTTGGAAGATGCAGTAAGTACTCAATAGATGCAACACAACTAGATTTTTAGGCGAGTTTTCCTTTTTTAAACAATGTACCAGACAAAACAAAGATGACTGAGCTAAACCTGGGCTGAGGGCACCGATCTTTGAGCCCTACTACATGCCCATCCCAATGCTCCTCACTTCCCCAAATAAATGAGTCTAACCACTGCCCAGCAGAGGACTTATAATGTGAGGACCTGGAGAGGAACCAGGACTGGTGTGGAGCCATCTTCATGACTGTGTGGTGCACTGGGGAAGGGTGAGGCTGCAGGGGCAGAGAAAGAATCAACTAACCAGCTGAGTATTGCTGGGTAGATTACTTGGGTAAAATGTCCCTATCAAACAGAGACACCAGTGTTGGCAAGATGTATTAAACAGGAAATCACAGAACAGTATTTAACACTATTTGTAGCACACAGTAAATATTCAATAAATGTTACTTGTTACATCTACATAATTCATTCATTCTGTAATTAATGCATTTTTGAGGACTTACTGTTGTAGTACAGTATATGCACTGCTGATCCATAGCAATGAATAAGACAAAATAATTGTTTTAATGATTTCACATTTTAGCAAAAGGATGACAAGGAATCACAGAAAATAAACATAACAGTTTTACAGACATACAAGTACTGAGAAAATTATGCTCGGATGATGAGGTAGAGTAACTGGGGTGGGAAGAAAAACCCCCTGGGAGGTGACAGTTGAGAGGAAATCCAAATGACAAGAAGGACTGGCTGCGTGAAGATCACAGAATCTCCAATCAGTTAAAAAAAAAAAAAAAAAAAAAACAGTATTGAGACCCCTATCAGGAAAATTCTTTGGCAGTTCAAGGAATAAATAGCCAGGGTAACTGGAAAGAAAGACTCGGAAGATTACAGAAATGGAAAATATTCCCCGAAATGATTGCCAAGGGTTTATTAGGAACAGGGGATTTATGGTCAAAGCAAAGGCAGCTGTACATCCCCAGTCTCTTCCCACAGCCTACAGTTACATCGGCACTTGTGCACCAGAGATGTAGAAGAGGCCTCGCCAAGAGAAAGCACAGGGCGTCTTCCAAGAAATAAGTGCATTCTGCCTTCACGCACTGCGGCATACATTTATAAGGCTCCACTGCATGTAGTACATTGCACACCACATCCTGGGCAAGCTTCCCAACAGTTCTGAGCATTTTAGGGAAGGGTCTTTAAGCACTCCAGGAACACTTCTGCCTCAGAGCCTCTGCATGAATTGGTTTCTCCTCATGTGCACTCTTCCCTCAGGCATCCGAATGGCTCATTTCCTCATATACTTGAGTCTCTACTCATTGGGTTTGTGCATCTGGGCTGCTAGAACAAGATAACACAGACTGGGCAACCTGTAAACAACAGAAATTCATTCTACATGGTCTGGAGGCTGGAGGCCTGAGATCACAGCACCAGTGTGATCCTATGGGCTTCTCCTTGTATCCTCACAAGGCAGAGGGGGGCTAGGGAGCTCTGGTAGGGTCTCTTTTGTAAGAACACTAACTGCATTTAGGAGGGCATGACCCTCATGGCCTAAGCTCTCCCAAAGACCTCATCTCCAAATACCACCAAATCTAGCCTGAGAATTTCAATTTATGAAATGTGGGGGATACAAATATTGAGATCACCAACTCTTATACTACATTTCTCACCATATTACCTATCCCCACCATTCACTCTGCCTTATTTGTTTCCCCATTGAAAAATATTATACTGTGTAATGTCATTTTTCTCTTCTCTTCTCCAACCTAGATACAGGCTCTAAAAAAGACAAGGATTTTCATCTTTTTTGTTCACTGACATATCCCCAGTGTTCGAAGATTATATGGGCTATACTAGGTGCTCAGTATTTACTAAGTATAAATAA